TAGAGATGTTTAGAGTGCTGAAGAGAGGCTGTAGGCCATCACTAGTAGGCAGGAGGCCATTGCTAGTAGCACTAGTAGATTGGAGGGCAGAGCGGCCTTTAAACATGGACAGCCTGACCTGAGAGTTTGTTTTGAGCAACTCCGGTCACTGCAACCCCTTAAGTCCAATCAGTTGGCATACATCTCCTGGAAGTGGACTGAAAGGCCATCGAAGGGAAGCCGAAGGGCACACTCAGAACTCAGACACGTGGAGTCACGTGGAGACAGACTGACACCTTTCTACATGTGGGACGACGGATGTTTTGGGCGATTCTTTTGTGAGCTTTTGTGTGCCTCGTTCGACTCTTTAAGCATCTTTCTTTAAGCTATATCACATACACAATCTGCAATTGTTTGTTCACGGTGGTCAGTTCATCTGATGCTTCCCCAAAGACATCCCAACAGCATGAACCTGCGAGTGCAAATGAGTCCCTTCACACTGCTGAAGCTTCACATTAGTTGTGAGTGCTTGAGACTGAGCGCGGTCATCTATACGGGGTCGTGTGCAAGAAGGAAAAGCTGCACCCTAAAGTTCATAAAAGTTCCTAAATGCATAGCAGAGCTAATTTATTAAGCCTCCGAATTGCACACAATGTTTCTTCAATTCATGCATTCGTTTCTTTAATGACCCTGATGTCACCCTGTGGCAAGACGGAGCACCTTCGACCCGAGGTTGCAGCGTGCTTTTGCGCGGCGCAAATGGTGCGGGACTTTTGATTCTGGTTGCGTTCTGAACGTGCGATCGAGCAGATGTTCTTGTTTTGATCGATCAATCTGTTTGAAGACGTGCTTTCATATCTTTGAGGATAAAGAAAAAGAGAGAGAGAGAGAGAGACGTGCTTCCATGTCTCAGACCCCTTGGCAAGGGGGATCCAGTAAGAAAAATCCGGTTTGGATGCACAGCTAAACCGTTTGGTCTCATCCAGCAGGGGAATCCATCCGTCCAGACGCGCAAGAGTTTTCAACGCCACGCGATACGCGACGCACAGGCCATGCTGGAAGCCTTGCGAACCTTCAACGCTGGAAGCTTGAAGATTATGGCACAGGCCGGAAGGCATGGGCACGCTGGACCCAATGCCTTCCACCGCCCTAACCCTGGGCAGGGTTCAGGCCGGACTTGCTATCTCAAAGGGGAGTAAACTATATGGATGACTTCCCAAAAGAATGGATGGAATATTGAAATAGTCAGAGTCATAGCTATATAATGCTATATAGTAGCTAGAAGCTACTAGTATAATAAGGGCATCGCTACTTTTTTGCAAGGGCATTACTACGAACGTAGCGAACGAAGCTACGAACGTAGCGATCTATTCTGAGACAGACTCATCGTGGCCGGCAATGACCATTTCAGGGATCGGGATGACCGAATCCTCCAGATGGAAGCTGAAGATGCCCCGGAACAACAGAAACCCGGTCAACCGCAGCTCACTGAACCCCTAAACACTGCGAACGGCAGCTTTTGAACACTGTGAGTGGAAGTGATATGTGCCACGACGTGTTGCTGGGACTTTCCTGGTTCACAGTATGGGTTCTAGTTGTATTCTATTGAATCATCAGCAAACCTGAACGGAACACCAGTCATTTTACTTCTTTTGGCATGCAGTTCACCGAAGTCCTTCCCACCGAAGTCCATCCAAGTCCATCCATCGCGTGCAGAGGTGAACCTTCCAACCACTGCGGTCCTGTCGGATGGACTTAGAGGGACACGGTCGCGGACGCGGTCGCGGTGGCGGTCGCGGACGGTCAATGCCCGGGCGATTCGAAGCGAAGTTCAACCGACGATTTGTGGCCACCAAAGTAAAGGACAGTCCGAACTCGGATCAGCTATAGCCATGTTTCAAAGCTATTTGTTCATGGTACTTGGATCATCCAAGCGCCAAAAACACTTACTGTATCTTACTGTAACAACAAGGGGTTAGCTAAGTCTACCTGCATCAACCGTTCCGAGTCACCATTAGACTACCCAGCCCACTACTTGTGGACCTGGACATGCATTGGATGATCCTGGTAGTTGTTGTGTTTTCTTTTGGACACGGACCCTTTGCTTCTCTCAGGTTGTGTCTGGGCACTCCCCCAGACATTTTTGGGGTTTTAATTCAAAGTGTGCCTGTTCCTGCAGTACAGGGAGCTTGCGTCATCAACCTCAGAGGCACTCTGTAGGAACTGCCACACAAATTACGTGACATACCTGAGTGCCTGAGTAAGATCGTGACTATGAATATAATATGCCCATTATGGCAATACGAAGGGCGACTATGTCCTCCTTCTCTGAGATGTGCATGAGGCTGGTTGGAACACTTCTCCAAGAGGTGTCAGCCAACAGGTTATGACATTGAGGACTCCAACGACTTTTCAGGACTGATCCTCTTTTTAGGAGTGACAGGCTTCAATATTTGTTGCAGCTTTGCAGTAACTCCTCCCTTTCCAATATTTTACTTCCGAATAACTTCGGAAGTGGAGTGAGGGAGTGAGGGAGGGAGTGAGTGAGTGAGTGAGTGATGTCACCACCGACCATTTGGGTCTGACGTCATCCGATAGCTCGGGACGTCATCATCCACCTTGAGACAGGTGTTTCAATTTGTTGAGTAACTCCTCCCTTTCTAGGTTGGAGGCCATTGCTATTGGGTAGGGGCCATCGGGCCATCGCT